TAATTTGTCCGCCAAACTTTATTTCGAAATTACAAGGAGTCAACGCAAATATTGTTTTTATAATAATTATAGCAGTTACAAGGCAAACCTTCCGTTTTTTAGCTTTCTGGAGCGAAGATATGAACAAAAAAGTTCAGAAGTTCAGTAAAACAAACATGCCAAAACTCAGTGAAATAATTAATATTCAATATAAAATTTTTTTATTCAGCTAAATATTATCAGTTCCATTGTAACAGTAAAGTTCTAATAACCTTACTTCATTTCTCACGATACTCAACGTGAATTTTAGGTCTGCAAACGTACATGTAATGAAATCTCTGATGAAGTGCTGCTAGCAGACTACCATGTCCCCCCTATGTCAAAGGTAGAAAAGGATTTGCTTCGATAAAAACGAATAAAGTCAGTCAAACTTGAGGAATCACTTTGCTGTCTGTACAAACTATTAAGGTACAAAAAGGAAATATGATCGCTATACAAAAAAGGAAGTAATTGAGTACTCAAGCCTTAATGTTCTAACAGTTGCTTGGATGTTTGTGGCTAACGCTCAACTAATCAACCTATGTTGCTATAGCATCAAAGGAAGTTTGGGGGCTTGTGCAGTTTTAGGCAGCAGATCTAGTACTTATGTCTTACACAGAGAAGTGACTGATTATTGGTGTATTGTAGGTACAGGATCATTGATAGACGTGACGACTCTGGAAGGCACTACAGCTTGTAATCGTTTATGAGCATATTTGGGGGTGTTTTCCGCAAGTAGCATTGGATTTGCACAGATTGTTCAACCAAACGGTTGTCGATCGGTGATTCGGGGCCCCTGGCCGAGCGATCTTTCGGATTGTAGAATTATCCATAGCACATCGCTCTTTCGAGGTTGTGATGTCCCAGATAAACTCTGATTTTTGGTACCAAGTTTATGAAGATAGGAAACACCCACTCATTGTATCCACGTATCTCAGTTGGTAATGATGAATTCGAGGAAGACAATTATATCACAGGTTGAAATCATGAGTCAGTTGAAGCTAGACCACCATTGAAAACCTGGAAGCACTGGACGGCCGTTCCGTCCTAGTATGGGACTCCTCAGCAGTGCGCATCCACGAACCCGCCCCCCGCGGGATTCGAACCCAGGACCTACTGGCTTCGCGCGCGAGCACTTAACCATTAGACCACTGAGCTGGCATCCAATGGTGTTAGTATCTAACATCAACCAATCCACGAAGTTGCGCGACCACCTTCCATTGTACTGAGGTAGATACCTGTCTCTACCCGACACGGATTAGCTCCACTGGTCACGACTTCTCACTAGAACTCCGAGAATTCGTGGATGCGCAACGCTGAGGAGTCCCATACTAGGACGAAACAGCCGTCCAGTGCTTCCAGGTTTCCAACGGTGTTCTAACATCAATTAATTCATGATCTCAACCAAAAACTTAACAATCTCCACAACCCCTATATTGATAAATGAAATTGTAAGAAATATGAGTAGTCAATAATTGAAACAAATGTATCCCAATTTCAATGGTCGAGATCATGAGTCACTTGAAGCTAAGCAACCATGGAAAACGTGGAAGCACTAGACAGCCGTTTCGTCTTAGTATGGGACTCCTCAGAAGTGCGCATCCACGAACCCGCCCCCTGCGGGATTCGAACCCAGGACCTACTGGCTTCGCGCGCGAGCACCTAACCATTAGACCACTGAGCCGGCATCCAACGGTGTTAATGTCTAACTTCAACCAATCCACGAAGTTGCGCCACCGAACACCAATGTCTTCAGTGAGCTGATATCTCACAACAGACCTGATTGAACTCCACTGGTGACGGCTTCTCACTAGAACTCCAGAAGGTTCTCTTGAAGTCAGTCAGTGAGATATCAGCTCACTGAAGACATTGGTTTTCGGTGGCGCAACTTCGTGGATTGGTTGATGTTAGACATTAACACCGTTGGATGCCGGCTCAGTGGTCTAATGGTTAAGTGCTCGCGCGCGAAGCCAGTAGGTCCTGGGTTCTAATCCCGCGGGGGGCGGGTTCGTGGATGCGCACTGCTGAGGAGTCCCATACTAGGACGGAACGGCCGTCCAGTGCTTCCAGGTTTTCAATGGTGGTCTAGTTTCAACTTACTCATGATTTCAACCTGTGAAATTTACTAAAATCTCCACAAAACTCATTCTGACAATTATATCAGTTCACCAAATGGAATGCTGTTATTGTTTTCCAACTTCAGCGCACGAATGCTGAGCTTGAACATGATGTGTGTTTCCCAGGGTCACAACTTGGACAAGATTACATTATTGAAACATCGTATAAGCTGCACCCGCAGTACAGTACTAACACGTAAACCTAATCAATAATCCGCCGATGAATATGCGCTAATATATAATATTCCATTCGTTTCTATTGGTTTTGTCTACTGAAAACAGCCCGACTTTAGAAGAATGTATGTAAATCAGTGTTGTGAATTATTGATCATGTCCGTAAAAATGGTTCGTACCAGTTTTGTTAGCAATGCGTTGTTATAACTGTAAGATCCATTTTGAATGTTTTTTGTGTGAAAATCGCTACAAGTATACACTTGCAGTTTGTTCCTATTATTTCTTTTAGTTGTACATTTTGTCAGTCTTTTTGATCCCATTTAAATTGTTAATATTTGCATTTTATTATAGTTTTTATTTTTCTTACGCCCTCCATGTTCATTCATGAACTGCATTTATGTTGTTTTACTTGATACTTAGTCTTGGCGGCAGTCATATTGCTTTGTTCCTCCCTTTGATTGTGTTACTTGTATTGACTGGAATTGTGCGTTTTTGATTGTGAATTGAAGCACTCTTCTAGAACTGGAAACAATCTGTGTTACAAAGCAACCAAAAACGATCTTTTGAACGAATCTGTGCTTGATCTATCCAGACAGGATAGAATAACATTTGTTTGTCGTGAATGGCAATTTTCCCGCATCCTTTATCAACTTCCTGATCTATTGTAATTTAGATTCGATTAATTGAATAATTACTGGATGAAGAGTCGGGTGGTCATATTTTTTTAGGTAACAATGTACATTTAAACCTATGATGAATTTCAGAACTGTCACTTTACCCAATCACTTTGTTTTGGTTTCAACCGAGCAAGGGCGCGTATCTAACCCACTTAGACAGCTATTCTTCAGTCCAAACCTTAGTTTGGATATAACAATAGTTACCTGGCAAGTTCCTGAAAAATTGTGTTACCATGAGCTGGAGTATTTGTATTAACGTCGAAGGAAACAGCCTGCAAGAAACAAACCACTTTTGGGAGTAACAAAACATTATTTAAACCATATTATTGGTCACTTCCGAGTTGGTTGACCACGAATTACGAAAGCCGAAATCATGGAAAAGTTTTAACACGGCTATCCGTTAGCTAGAGTGGCTAGAAACGTTTGTGGAAGACGACATTTCACAAAATTACGGGTTATAGTATATAAACACCACCACGGGTTGTAAGGCGAGTTTTGACTCGGAAGAGGTTTTTTAGTTATCAGGTCAGGAGAAGACTTTCATTGTCTGTTCATAACGTTTACTGATTCCAAATGGATAGAAATGGACCCAGTTTAAATGTACGTCTCCCTGATTTCTATTACTTTATTTTCCCTTTTTCCTTCTTTAAACTCAATATTCTTCTCAGTTACACAGAACCTGATTTACTGTTCTTCTATCATTCTTATTCTCCTTTTCAAATATGGCAAATAAAATGCTGAAATTTTTGAAACTTGCGTATTATTGCAATTTTGAAGAAACCCGAAATGGTTTCTTCACAACACTTATGTATCCATAAGATGTTTGTGAAAAATAATAATATGTGAATTTTCTTCATCTAATAGAGGATGATGGGGGATGTAATAAACAAGCAAAGTATGGAAATAACCCTCGACATTTTAATAGCATGTCATCAGTTGACTCCCAGCAGTCTACCTTCGGGCCTTATGCATTTACTATATGCTTACCTATGGGATAAGCGGTCCCCATGATTGTATGAAAGGCGCTATCTGTTATGAATGATTACGCGTGTAGTAGAATAATTCAAAAACTTCAAAACTATAAAGTCGGCAAATTGTTTAGAGGAGTAGTTTCGTCACGTTTGTTCTAGGCATGAGACAGTGGAAAGTTATTTCGCACATATGTTTTATACCAGTGACGCTTTTAACTAGCAGTTTCACATACTGCATATGATGCTGTTGGTCCCCTATGATTTAGGGACTTCATGTTAGCCTACTGTTGTCTGCCACATTTTGAGGTTTATTCAATTTGCTTTGAGAAGTTGATCTCCTATAAGTGGATATAAAATTCGAAGATATCTTTAAGAGCGCTTGACTTGTGTTAGTTAAAACTAACGACAACATAAATGATCCTGTTTTAGTGATTTACGATCAGTGGAGCTCGTTACATCAATTACAGACTGACTCTACAACATCATCGAACTTGAAATATCGTTTTGTGGAAATAGTTAACTGTTGGTTTCTTAAGAAAAGTCACCTTTGTCACATTAGAGACCTGGTAGAGTGGATGTTAAAATTTTTAAAAATAACTTTGTTTATTTAACCTCATTGTCACCACGTCTAACAGAAGTTTACTATCAGTATTATTATCATTTTTTAAAAATAAGTATATATATTCGCGATTGTACAGCTTTGAAAATGAATTCGCTGAAAAGAGGAATCTTTGCTGAAGTAAACTTTTTTATTTAATGTCTTAATGGGTGTATTCTGTCTGCTATAATTAGCATGATACGTCATAATAATATCTCCTTGTTCCATTTGTAATGAGCATGCCTCACGTTAATTACCCTCAGTAGAGCTTCTTCCTGGACACAAGCATAATAATTGTCGTCCTTTTTTGGTTCGCTTTTGAAGAACTTGTTGGGCCAGTGAATTATCACTGCGCTTCAGCCAAATCATGTGGCAGTCGGGTCACTGAATGTTGAACAGCTCATCGATTCTCGTCAAGGTCAAGGACGACAACACGCATTAGTTGGTTGCACTCCATGAACTGGCCCATGTGATGGTCGTACCCTGTTCTTTGTACATACTTTTACGAATATGTTCCTGTGGTAACGTCGTTTATATTATATGGTCTTCAAAGCAACTTTAGGACCTTGGCACGACGAAAGAGTGATCAATATTGGGTGCTAATCACATTATCTGGTTCGTCACAACATTGCCGTCTAACCCGAGTAGGCCATCAATCATTTGACACATGTCACCTGTGTTTATGATCTACAAACAGCGGCCCTATTAAGGGGAATTAGACGAAAATAACATCTCACAAGATAGACCCAAACGTTGCATTAAATATGAATAACAGTCTTTTCACCCACCATAATTAACATATTTGTGATATGCGAGTGACCCTTCCGAAAGACATATTATTTATTTATTGGAGACATCCTCACAGACCACGTCAGATCGTAGTTACTATAATTCTCACAGTCGCAGTGACAAAGTCGAAAAATCGATGGTTTTTTCGGCCAGTAAAATCGTCGAGTGTTCTCAATCTAACGCTATCAACTTCTTGTCTGATCACCAGACTACACCGGTTTCACACTCGTGTTATTTTTTATCATTGTTGAATGCTTTCGTTATAAAATGTGAGAACTTATTGAGTCGTTGATTAACTCTTTTTCTTGTTCTTTTTCTCTCCGGATGGTATCACAGCCCTTAACACTCGTACAGCTAATAAGGTTCCTTGAAGCTTGCTGCAAACTGAACAAACATTGAACATCATTGGATTATCTTCAGCACTTAAGCACTGTTGAGTGAACTTTACAAGTACAGTATTCTTAAAGAAAACAACACTTTATCTACAAGAGAAAGACAGAGGTATTTCTACCAGCAGACATAACTTTGAAGTTTGGGATATCGGTTTGAACAACATTTTGTTGACTACATTTGTTTGGTGAAAATTGAAAAGCGAAAATCCTTGAGCTTGAGGAATAAAGATACAACTATGTGCGCTACTTCGTCCTTTTTGCGTAAGATATCATCATCTCACAAATAGCTCCTGAGAAAATGTATAGGAGTTATTAGCAAGTAATTTGTAAATCCTACACATGCTGTACGCAAAATAGATTCGAGTATGAACTATTCACAGTTAAAAACCAAAATCGCTATCGAGAACCTGTAACACCTATTATTGTCTCATCAAAATTGGTGATATGCATGAACTCAGGAAGATCAACGTATGTTTTATTACGTCCTGTGTTATAGTTGCTTTTAGGAGCTAAAGTTTTATCTGTCGAAGGATGATGGTAACGCATTTGATTTTTGCGAACTTATAAAGTTCTTACTCGAATGCGTATGTGGTTCTTATTTGTGATCAAATTTATTATTTCAGAAACCTTCTACAGAAAAGTTATCTCTTGGGAGGTTTATAATCGATTACTTTGTCAGGCGTTTGCACAACATAGGTTTGACAGAACTAACTTCTCTGGTTATTAATGGTCTGTATACTACTTGTTGCTAAGTTTCTTGTGTAGATATTTATATGTTATTCACTTTAGCGGGATTTGAGGATACCAAAACAGAAGGTGATACCTAATTTATTTTACTTATATAGATTTTCAGGTCTGGTTGCTGAGCAGCTTCAAATAGTTTGCTTGTTCGGTGTGATTGAATACATCATGTCAAACAAGTTGACTTATGATCCTTCATTCATCTGCTCCTCAATCGGTCATTTCATCATTGACCGGCTTAAAAGATATTCCGTCACTGTTTTATTGCAAAGCATCTCTCTAGCTAAGGTGTGGTGTTCATTTATATTTCTGAATGTTCTAAGCAAGGTTAGTATATTTAATTTAATAACGAAATATGGCTTTTTGGCTTCTGGACTTCCTTCACACCCCAATATATTGTTTAACGTTTATCTTTATTTGTTCAAACGGGAAGCAGTGTTTCCTCTGGAGCTATATGTTTATTACTAGGAGGTATAAAAGTGACAATTAACTCCTTTGCTACTCTGCTTAACTTAACCTCATTGGATCGACACATTCTTATTAGAGTCTTCGTCGATTATGTCCGACTGAATAGCAAAATTGTTATCAGCATTAAGCGAGTTATAATTGATTGGAAACCATAAGTTTCTGCGGATTGGATTTAGAATTATTGCTCTGCTTAGATTTTTCCACTTTATATGGCCGATAACGTGTTTCGCTCTTTTTATTGGTAAGTGATGTATATTACTTCGACTTCTTTTCTTGTATCTAGGGTCTCGATGATTGTTTGACTAAATGCGCAAAGGCAATTTGTAGATCCGTTTATCTACACGCTGGATCATCTAATGGGAATGTGGAAAAGTCAGTTCAGGAGTTTTTTCTACATATTCTTGGCATAATCTTGACATTGAACAAGAAAGATTCCGAATTTTTACCGGTTTTTAAAGCATTTGTAAACGATATTATCCCATGTTATTCTGTCAACGTAACAAGGCACTACAAGTTACCTAAAAATTCAATTCATTGCTTACTTTCCGTTGTAAAGTGCTTAGGACTTGTTGAGGTAAAATATTGTATTGTTTTTAAATCTATTATTTCGTGTATCTGCATAAAATCACTAGTTTTTCTAATAAGGATTTAGTTGTCTTCAATATCTGGGGCATTTATCTTTAAAGTGATAGCTGTGAGAAATAAATCTACTTGGACACATCAATACAGTATCTTAAGCATATATCGGTTGTTTTGTATCAACACAAATAGAGAAAAGCGGGTGGTAAATATTGTATTCAGACTTCTAGATAGTTTATAAACAACATATTGCCTTTTATATGCAATTGCTGATATTTTTCTAATGTAGCTCAGGAATTACTTAAAATCAGCCCCTTCGTGTATTTTCCTCCAATCACAGTCGACTTTATCCACAGCTAAAGTTTAGTGAAACTACTGAAAGTGTTTATTCGTTCAGCTTTCAGTCATACCAATAACAATAATGTTGCCTGTAAAACATCCTTTTGCGTAAGTCATTTGCAATGTTGATATATACACCGATTAGTAAAACTCTGAATAATTAAGTCTGCATTCTTATGTTTTGTTCAGTTTGTAAAAGAAATTTATCACGTTTAAGCACGTTGAAAACATATGTCTGTGAATGAAATTACCAGCCTTCTACTCGTATGCTCTGAAATTGATGGATTTCTTAGGAAAAGAAGTATAAGTAAAGGCAGAGGAATCATGACACGATCGTCACAAACAAAGGTATTCAAAAGAAGTTATTAGTTACTTCCTATTTTTGATAAGAGTACAAGACGGAAAGCGTTGAAAACGTGAATATAATCTACCTTCTATTTTGTTTTAATTTGTATTAAAAGCTAACTGGATTTCAGGTGCACGTCAACTACAGTCAAAATGGTTTATCAGTAGTTAGAAGACTTGTTTATCAACTGGTGGGCCTCGGACCCAAATACCTCTTCATCCCACTTATTTTGAGTAGTCCAGTAGTATTATTAAACCTAGAGGAAAGCGTATGTAAATCAATTATATCTACATTTATTAAGTGTACTCAAATGGCCACTTTCGTTAGAGGCAGTTAGTATCTATCCATAATTGTTATTTTTGACTGTTTTGATCGTATTGTTGTTTTGGTTTGAAAAATTGGTTATTCTTCGTCACAATGCATTTGTTGTTATCGATATGCTTTCACTTCGACTAATTGTTCGAAAAATATGGATTTCATTAGACTGAGTCATAAGTTATGAAGGCTCACTTGTTGTTGAGTGCTTACTAATGCAGCTAGGTCGTTGCTGGAAAATCATACATGTTCTTTGCATTTTAATATAAAACTACACGTCTGAGGAAAGGTCGTAGTAATTCCCCATCAACTTGTTTTAATGTTTTTGTTTTAATCGAAGGTTTTTAATTACGATTCATTTCTTATGTGGAGTCTTTTATTGGGTATTGAATACAATTGCACATCTAATGTGGCTTGTGATATTATAAAGTCTATTTTCGAACAAAGGTTAGTTTAATAAGATAATCTGTCTTAATTTGAAAACCTTTAATAAAATGTTTTAGGCTGAACTATGTTCATTATGGTTTTGAACGAATACCTGTATGAAAGTCATTTTAGGTTCGTGTTTTGTATTTATAACTATTCGCATGTAAAGTGCACTAGCCGAATACTTATGTATTGAATCACTAGCCAAAAATACTTTGTAAATGCTGGCTACATTATTTGAGCACTCGAATAAAAGTAGTTAGTTTTGAACCGGTCATTCATTGAGTAAGAATGGAGTTTCTCCAAATAACAGTACATCCAGTAATACTGTGGCTTGTGATTCTAGATAGCTTTCTCAAAACTAAGTAGTTTATAGTAGGTGTTCAAAACTGAGTAGGTATGCCCTTTAATTTTTGACTTAATAATCAAGTGAAGGTTTATATATATACCTCCATTTTGAGGTATGTTTTTGTGATGACTAATTTTACCGTTTGACTGTTCAGACCAAAGTACTTAAATCGGTGTTGGAGCCAGTACGTTAGTGGCTGAAAGTTAAATTTCTTGACTAATGAACTACAAAAAAATTCATTGGCATGAACACGATCTCAAATAGAATGGGTATTGTTAATTTATTGTTTCTGTTCAGCTTCGTTCTTATTCCTAACCATTAGAATCAAATCGCTGTCTTACATTCTTGAGGCGTGTAACTTTCGTTTTTCCCGGATATTTTTTTCTTCGAAACAAGTTGATTTAAATACACAGTTAAAATTGTTTTAGTCATCCAGTAAGTGTACGAAATGATTTTTGTTTAAATTTCGTATGCTACCATCTACTAATATGCTTAAGCGTTCAGCGACTGCGATGACGAATAAACTTTCTAGTCGGTTCATCACTGTAAGTTTTAAACTTAGCATAGTTAGATAAGTAAAACTTGATCACTGTATGTTGCCTCTATGCATTAACAATTCTTCCTGCCATCTTAATCAATATATTTTGAATCCAGTTTTCTATTTCCATGATTGTCATCATATTTATACTGTTAACCGTTCAAGCCACTGTTTAAAATATGTAGTTTTCAGAACTGTTTTCCGTGTTTACTGATTTATTTGTTTTATCTTTTAAAATTGAATAGTGTAACCATCAAGCGAAATTCCCCACAAGTATATGATTTTAACCTACTTAAACCTGTGATTCAATGGATGTTAACTGGAACGGTAGATTGTCCCATGTCAAAGATATCATGTAGTTGTAATTTTCTCTTTACTACGAAATCGTTTCAGGTATCAATGTTTATGATTTGCATAACCTTTTATAAATACATAATGCATCAATTGAACTGTATCTTTATTGTACATACTTATATAGTTTCATTCATCGATATATACGTTCAATTGTATGGCTGTAGTTATATATATATATATATATATATATATATATATATATATATAGGCTTGATTCATAAATTATTTTGATTGGTCGTTTATCACCAAGGCTTTGAAATTGTGCAGTATATAATGCAGGCAAAACAAATGATCACAGATAAAAACATATTAAAGTGCAACATTGTTATTGAAATGCATATTTTAATAGTCATCAATCCGTCTATCGCTGAGTTGTCTTTGATAATTAATATACGAAAACAAATTCTTAAAGAATGTGGTTTATCTACAGCGTCATGCTGGATATCACATAGGATGTATCATTTAGAAACTGATATTTTCTTGGTAGGAAGAGTAAAACTTTATATTTTGTACGGATTTTTAACACAGTATCGAAGGATTTGAAATTATAAATGTATTGTGAAGATAGTGGTGGTGAAATTGTTTTAATGATAGTTTATGGGCAACTTTCAGATTCTCGAAAACTTGCAAATTTATTCACATAGAGAGTAGATTTATAATGAAACAACTCCATTTTTTATGGAGGGCTAAGAATTCTATAATTTAGTGAATCTGCATACTGGATTATATCAATGAATGTAAAAGATAGTTTAGTTATTATCTTGAAGAAAAAGATTAGATTTAGTGTAAGTTTATGCTTTTATAAAGGCTGAAGTCTTGCTTTAGTACACCTGGATTTTTAGTCTGAATTACAAACACTTCCAAGAAGACGAAGTGCAAAGTGATACTGGATAAACTTTAGTCAAAGTTCATCTTTAACAAAAAAAATCACTCAAAATAAAAGTACAGTATTCTAGTAGCTGTCGGACACAACTTCTGTGTAATAAAATACATGTATCGTTGTTGTTAAGATTACACAGCAGAAACTGGCGTCACTTAGGTAAGTGAATTGTGACCTGCTCTTAAAAAGACGAATTGTAGGAATATTTGACGCTAGGGTCTATTGCCAAACAAAACTTGAAATAGCTTCCTACTACTTATAGCGAAGTATGAGTATTTATTTATTTGAACACATAAATATTGGTACAAGAGGGCGCCAACATATATGCGCCACACAAAACAATGAGAATTCAAAGAGAAATAGAAGAAAAAAGAGAACAATAACGAAGAGATTGGTGTAAGGTAGTGTGCTAGTAATCAGGGAATGCAAAGGTACAATCGGAAGAAATCTTTCAGGTAAGGGAGACACAACCACTTTTTATGAAGAAAGTAAAAGAAGGTTACAGCAGGATCGCCACTGGCTTCTATTCTGAGCCATATCTGGTAACGTCTCTAGCCACTGTGTAGCACCATCTCTCGGACCCCAATCAGGGAGTCGTGAAGGACCAACACCCGACCGTTGTTGCTACGTTGACGTGGTGGTCGGGCTTGCCTATCGTGATGAAGCAACCGAGCTATACTGGCTGGAACAACCGTTCCTCAAGGTCCTACCATGTCAGAAAGGTCGGTTGAAGAGCGGTAAGACTAAAAGCAACAAACCCAAGGTCCGAGGGCGAAGTCGTACTGCTGACTGTACAGAGGTGTGACAGCAGTAAGGTGTTTCCTTCAGACAACCAGCATGACAGCGATGCTGCATTCCCACAAGGAGGGGTGGGGTTAGAAAAGGTCGACCCTAAAAATGCACACCTCACCTTACCTCACGGATTTCCGTCTCCGGCGGTAAGGCCCTTTGAAGAACGGAGCTAACATGTCAAAAACCTCCCACGAAAAGGCCGTGCGCGACCGGCCTCAAGCAGTTGTCCCTTGGGCACTGCGGTCACGCTCCCAGGTAACTGAGACCGCCACTAATCCAATTTCCTTTTCAGGTACCTCCAGAAGAACCCTTCCACGGTGTGGGCAACCGGGAAGTGATAACCGCCCTCATACCTCTAACAGCACCCAAGACCACTGTATTCATAATCAACCTTCCTCTTCAATTCCTATTATTCCTCCTACATCGACTTTCAACCCTAAACTTCCTCCTTCGGCTTCCTCCTCAAGTGTCGCCGTAGCCAACGATTCTAGTGCTCAAAACTCTGTCCCAGGTCTACTAAAACCTCTCTCCAAACTACACATTGGAGCTTTCAACGTACGCACTCTATGTCAAATCGGTCATCAGGCTTCCTTGGCTAAAACCCTAGAGTCTCTTTCCATTGATGTATGCTGTGTCTCCGAAACACGCATACAGGATTCCAGTGTGGTCATTCACTTGACCTCACCTCGGCAAAACGGAGAGCCAACGAGATACACCCTACGTGTATCTGGTGACCCGATGGCCAGTTCTCGTGGACTGGCATGTGTAGGCATAGCACTAAGCATGAGGGTGGAACAAGCACTGCTAGAGTGGATCCCCGTCAACAGTCGTCTATGTGCTGTTCGGCTAAACGGCTCCGTAAGAACTCGGAAGGATAGGGACACACGTCGTTGCCTTTTCGTCGTTTCTGCCTACGCTCCCACTGACTGCAGCTCAGATGATGTGAAAGATGAATTTTATAGAAAGCTGTCCGAACTTCTTCAGAAAGCTAAACGCTCAGACATAGTACTCGTAGGGGGTGACTTTAATGCCCAGATAGGTAGTTTAAACCAAACAGAAAGGCATTTAGGTGGATATTTTAGCATTCCGGCACAGCGAATAGATAATGGAGACCGTCTGCTGCAACTGTGCTCAGACAATCGCTTATTTTTAGCAAACACAAATTTTAAGCATAAGGAGAGACATCGTCTAACATGGCGACCGCCTGCACCAAGCCAACGATGGACTCAAATAGACCACATTGCCATCAGTCCTCGTTGGAGAGGGTCGGTAGAAGATTGTCGCTCATTCTGGAGTACCTGCTTGGACTCCGACCATGCCCTAATACGAGCACGCATCTGTTTGCGCCTCACTGGACGCAAAAAAGCCACAGTAAAAAGACCCATTCGAACCTAACTGAGTAGCGAGGAAACCAAAAGTAGGTTTCAGGAACAACTGAGGTCACGATTAGGTAGTTCTGAAAACGAGGCTGACCCAGATGTTGCTTGGAAAGCCATACAAACAGCTGTGGAAGCAGCAGTAACATCTATTAGCGACTTAAACCACAGAGTTTCAAAGAACCAGTGGATTTCTTCAAAGTCTATCACACTGATGAATTTTCGCAAACTCGTCCCATCAGGCTCCGAACATGAGGAAGAGCGACAACAAATCAGATCTAGGTTAAGAAAAAGTCTAAGAAACCACCGTGAGCAGTGGTGGGCATCGAAAGCAAAAGAGATGGAAAAGGCGGCGACTATAGGGAACACAAGACAGCTTTACAGACTAATAAAAGAAACTGGAATTAATAAGTCAAGTGTAAGTGAGATTATATCGGAAAAAGACGATACACTCATCTGCTCCCAGTCCAGACGTTTAGAACGATTGGGGGAACATTTCAGAGAACAATTCAGCTGGCCTTCAGCTACTTTACAACTACCCTCCATTCCCAGACAGTGTGAATGGAACATTGAAGTAGGTCCCACAACTCTTGCTGAAGTTCAAAAGGCTATAGTTAATCTGAAACGAGGAAGGGCAGCTGGTCCAGATGGATTGGTTCCAGAGGTCTTTAAAGATGGTGGTCCAATTTTAGCGATCAGGTTGACTAATATTTTAGCTAAAATCTGGGAGTTAGACGTTATTCCATCTAACTGGTCACAATCACTTATCGTCCCAATATATAAGAAAGGGTCAAAATCATCCTGTGACAACCACAGAGGGATTAGTTTAACTAATATAATATCTAAAATACTAGCCTCGATAATTATCAGACGCCTAACTAAGACTCGTGAACTGCAAACACGAGAGAACCAAGCTGGCTTTAGGCCCGGTCGTGGCTGCATCGACCACATATTCACCATTCGTCAGATTCTAGAACACAGGCATACTTATCGGCGTCCGACAATGGTGGTCTTTCTCGACTTAAAAGCAGCATTTGACTCGGTAGACCGCGAGATTCTGTGGCAGTGTCTGTCCTTGAAAGGCATACCTCAGAAGTACGTAGACATTGTGAAGGCTATTTACTTGAAAAGTACCAGTTGAGTCAGAGCTTCTGGCGAACTGTCATCTGATTTTGCAACCTCAAGTGGTGTCCGTCAAGGCTGGCCATTATCTCCATTTTTGTTTAACTTCATCATAGATCTACTGATGGAAATAACTTTCTCGTCGACTGAGTTCTCGGGTATTGATCTCCTACCAGGAGGTCCACTTATCGACTTAGAATACGCAGATGATATAGTCCTGTTTGGTGAAGACGCTGACAAAATGCAGAGTCTTCTGGTAACACTGAGCAACAATGCCAGGATGTGTGGAATGCGCTTTTCTCCCTCTCAATGCAAGTTGTTGCTTCAGGACTGGTCTGCGTTAACACCTGAACTAAGGATAGGGAGTGAAGTAGTCGAACGCGTTGACAACTTCACTTATCTTGGAAGTCTGATCAGCCCTAATAGGTTGGTATCGGACGAAATCTCAGCACGGATTCGGAAAGTTCGATTGGCTTTTGCCAACTTGCGTCATCTATGGCGAAGGCGAGATATCCGTCTATCAATAAAAGGACGAGTATACTGTGCGGCAGTCCGTTCTGTTTTAATTTACGGCAGCGAAACATGGCCATTAAGAGTAGCAGACACTCGTAAGCTATTAGTATTTGACCACAGATGCCTTAGAAATATTGCTGGCGTCTGCTGGGATCACCGGGTAAGTAATAGTGAGGTTAGACGCAGGGTATTAGGGAATGATGGTAAATCAGTTGATGAGGTTGTGAATCTTCATCGACTGAGATGGTTGGGCTACGTGTTACGTATGCCTGAACACCGATTACCACGACGTGCAATGCTAACCGGTGTTGGGGATGGTTGTGAGAAAGTAAGTGGCAGCCAAACTAAAAAGTGTT